ACACAAAGCATTTACATTCAATTGGACAGCACAGAATTTTTGAGTGAATATTTTCATAGTGAAAGTTTAAAATTTGTGGCACACGATAAAGGCTAAGCCACAAAGTTATTTTTGAGAAGTTTGATAATATTACAGGAGTAATTAAAATAACTTCAATGAAATTTCTCGACACCTGTTCTAATGACAGTGACAGAAAACAGTTGTGTTTAAGATTTCATTGACGTAAATTGTCTATGAAACACCTTTTCCGCTGATTTTGCGCGAAAAGAAACCACAACTAAATACCAACTTAAAACAAATAAATCTTGTTTGTATTGTTTTAGTTATAAAAGCTAACAAAAACTGATTCATTTGGTTTTGATTTCTCTTGCATTGATATGAATTTTAAATAAATTAGGTTATTTTAAATATTTTTTTTATTTTAGAACTGATAAATTTTATCTTGTTATTGTCAATTGACTTAACAGCTGTCAATGTCATCATGACAAATAGACAAGATAGGACAGAGAAGAAAGTGTCCCATGAAAATTATTTTTAAAATAATTTCTATTTATAAATCCTTTTAGATTTTCATGTTATAACGTAACACTTTATCGGAAGCAGTGTCGTGTTTATATCGCAAAAACGTAGTATGCGTAAAAATGCGTGTGGCTTTATTTGTTTACGCGCAATTTCAGACAGTTTATTTACACATTTGTGGCTTGAAAAGTGCTAATTATTACAAATAAACTAAAAAGCATTCAAGTTTTATTCATAGAACACGATGTCTTCCGCGATAGGACATTCATAAGTGGTATAGATAAGATCGTGAAAATAATAATCTTTATTTTGTTTTCTGATTAGACGACATGGACGTGTTAATTTCTTGTGAAAGAGGACTGTGTGTATTTTATTTAGGATAATTTTGATATTTATCGTGTAATAGAATTGCTTGTATAAATACAAAATGCCTGGGAAAATTAAAGTGAAAGTCCTGGCTGGACGTAATTTGCCGGTGATGGACCGGGCGAGTGATACTACCGATGCGTTTGTGGAAGTCAAATTTGGAGGTGTGACCCACAAGACCGATGTCTGTCGGAAGTCATTGAACCCACATTGGAATAGTACAGAATGGTATAGATTTGAGGTAAGGATTATTTAAGACAATTATTCTTTTAATGTCACTATGTTAAGCATATACAAGATCAAGTACTCCTAAAAACCAAAATATTAAGTGAAAACCAATATACTCCTGAGTAAGGTATAAGGTATTAGTAAATATAAATATGGAACTCTATAATTAAACTATAATAGATAAAAGATACATACTTCTTAAAAACAGTGCATCTTTTCACAATCATGTGAATTTTAATAATTGCATTATTTTATAAACCATTTATCTAATGATGTAACAAAGGAATTTCTTTTTCCCCATTGCTAAATTATTTTCTTGGATGAAAAATTTACACCGCTATCCATTCACTAATAGGTATTTGTTATACTATCTATGGGGTTCGTCTCAGTGACCGGTCTAACAGAGAAAAGTGATCTTCTAATGAAAACTGATTGTTCCAATGGAAAATACCCTTTTGTGTACATAGGAAACAACCAGAGAATTAATGCCATTTTAGCTCCAGATCATTGGAATAGAGCACAAAGAGGTATATCCAGTTCCTGTAAATTATATGCTAGTAACTCTCTTCTAAGAAATATAAGCATAATTGACTTGGTTTTTAATTACTAGTTTTAAAATTATCTTTGTCTAAATTAAACCATAATGGAAGAACTGCTATGTATGCGTTGTAATATTTTCAAGGTCATTTTTTCAATTCAAACTCCATAATTTGGCCGCGACGCGATGTTATTTCGGGGCGCCACGTCTGCCGAACGTCTGGTGGTTATAAACAAACTCTGAATTAATAGATTTATACATTGATAACTGCAGAGCTTTTTAATGAGGAAATCTCGAGATATAGACATTAATTTATATTTAATACGATATTTACGAATAAAACTGCAAGTTCAAAGAAATAGATAAATTAATTTGTCTGACGTGAACGTCTATCTTTAACCAATGTCTATTTCTTAATTGAAACTTTAAGAGCGTGCACACACTTGAAACTAAACTATCGTACAACTGTTGTACGATTGTCAATTGTCGATTTTTTTGCAGCCAATTTAACTGTTTAGTTGCACAGTTAAAAATCGATAAGTGTGTACATCAGGTATCAAAGCAAGACTAAACAGTTGTGCGATAGTTTAGTTTCAGGTGTGCTCTAAATACGCAACTTATGACGGCAAACTGACGACCACTTCTTTCAGTCGTCTCGCTCGGACGCGATGACGTGAGTTAATTTCGTATTTACACACCCTTGTACAGTCAGGCAATTGGCGGAATTCCACGTTAACTACAGTTGAGTCGCGGACCTATAACCAGCTTTTTAATGTGTTTGTATCTAATAGGTCAGTCAGTGAAACGCGGCTAATGTCTTATATTAATCCCGTCATATACGCAACTAACTGCTACCTAAATGATTATTTTTAAAAAGGAAATATGTCATGATGCAAGGAACAGGGCAATATATTTTTAAGAAGAATACGACCGCGACTGTACATACTCTAATAGACATATAGGATCAAATTCAAAGACAGTAATTAATTATATTGCAGGTTGATGAATCAGAACTACAGGACGAGCCTCTACAACTTAGACTTATGGACCATGACACATATTCAGCTAATGACGCGATAGGCAAGGTCGTTATCAGTCTCGCTCCCCTTCTCGCTAGAGAGGCTAACAATGCTAAAGGCACAGGAGGGCCACCTGGGGGTAAGTCTTTTCAGAATAATTACCCATATACACAACAACGTAAACAAAAGACAACCAGGGTTCTATCATCATCAGCATCACCAGCTCACTATTCGTCCCCACCAAGGGGCTCGGAGCCTACCCTAAAGTTAGGGTGCCTAGCCCATAGTCAACCACAGTGGCCAAGTACGGGTTGGTTGACTTCACACGTATCTTTGAATTTCTTCGCCGATATGTGCAGGCATCACGATGTTTTCCTTCACCGTAAGGGTTCTATGTGACTGTGTAATTCGTAGACCTGTGGTGCCCCTTTCTGTCCAGTGCCCTGGACAGTCCAGCGTCCTTACTACCTTTCTAACTATCTGTTTGGATATCTCGGCCGTATTGTTTTTCAATTATGTGATTGCTGTTTTATTTACAGGCGCGGTGATGTCAGGCTGGATCCCAGTGTTCGACACGATGCACGGCATCCGGGGGGAATTGAATGTCATCGTGAAAGTGGAATTATTCTCGGATTTCAATAAATATAAAACTTCGAGTTGCGGTGTGCAGTTCTTTCACTGTTAGTATTATCTGACGGCGGGTCTAGCTCTTCTTAGTTGTTGTATAACCAAAACTGTGATTCTTCTGGTGTCAGGTCCAATGATCCCGCCGGGGTATCGTGCGACTGCAATCCACGGTTTTGTAGAGGAACTAATAGTTAATGATGATCCGGAATATCAGTGGATAGATAAGATACGAACACCGAGGGCATCTAATGAAGCTAGACAGGTGGCATTTATTAAGCTTAGCAACCAAGTGAGTACCATAACTGTAAGTTTAATGTTCAAGTGTTTTTTGATCTAGTACTGACAGGGTTTAAATCTTAGGTACAACGTCTAGTAGGCTTGAAAGCAGCCGAGCTGGGAGCTAATGCCGTGGTAGGCTACCAACAGGACTTCGACTTGGAAGGCGAAGCGGGTGTCGTCGCTAGAGCTATTGGTATATATCTTGTTCACTATCATCCAATCCTGGATATTCTCTTGTCTCTTTTATCATTACTCTAAAATCATTGTAAATGACAGTCTCTTAGTTACATCTAAAATGCTTTCTTACAGGCACCGCAGTCAGTATAACCCCGTTGCCAACACCGAGCCATCCCGTTAACATCCCACCGTGTTCGCAGCAGTGAGTATTGTTCGAGAATAAAACATCTTGCAGAATATTTAAATTCTATAGTTAAAAACGTCAAATCTTACATTATTGAAGTATAAAGAATGTTAAAGTAAGATTCTAAGGCCATATTATATATTAATACCATTAAAAATTTCAATTTCAATTCAAAAAGCTTTAAATGTGATGATTTTCGATGTTGTCCCGTGGTTTAAAGTAATAATCTAAGCTATGTGAATAAAAGAAGTACTCATGAATATTTGTTTGCATGGTTTGTTGTGTGTTTCACGTTGGCTATAAATAGGCAGCTAATGAAATATTTGGATATTTTGGCGACGGACGATGAAAGTGTGACAGATCTGGCGGAATATTACCAGAACCATCAAGAGGAATTATTGAAACTTGTTAACGTACTTAATCCTAAAGCTCAGTATCTTCTAGATGATCCTGACACTATTGATGAGGATGATAAAAGCTTAGAACTAACAAAAGAATCCAATGCCAAGTACGTAGGAGATCGTTCTATCTATCAAGAG